ACCAAATATATTTATGGACTTAGACACCTTATCCAACACAATCAAGTGCAAATCATTCGAGTTCAAGAATGTGTCTGATGTCAAAGGTCTTCAACACAATCTCATCTCAATCAACCAATTGTGTGACACTAACTATGAAGTTCATTTCAACAAGAAGGAAGGAAAGGTGATTGATCAAAAGAAAGTCATTGTACTTGCTGCTAATCAACAAAATGGCATCTATGTCTTGGACATGTTTTCCGTTGAGAACTCTCTTAGGCGCTGCTTCTTCTCTCGTTCAAAATCTCATATAAATTGGTTGTGGAACAAAAGACTCTCTCATTTAAACTTGAAGAACATTTACAAGATCTCTGGAAATCAGCTTGTGAGAGGAATACCCAAGATGACGTTCGAAGAAGATAAGTTGTGTTCAACATGTGAAAAAGGGAAGCAAACAAAATCTTCATTCAAGTCAAACTCTTGATCTTTTATCAATAAACCTTTTCATCTTCTTCATATGGATTTTACCCCTGTTCCTATCAAATATAGATCTGGGAAGAAGTTGACACTGGTCATTGTCGATGAGTATTCTTGATTCACCCGGGTTATCTTTTTGAGAAAGAATAACCATGCCACTGATGACATTATTTCTCTTATAAAGCAGTGTGAGGTTCTATATGATTGTAAAGTTAGGAAACTACAGAGCAATCATGGCACTGAAATCCAAAACTCCACTTTAGAGGAGTTTTGTGATGCTACAAGTATTTCTGAAAACGTTTCCGTTGTGTGGACACCGCAACAAAACGGTGTCACTGAAAGAAGAAATCAGGTACTTATTGAAGTTGGGCGAACTATGGTGGTAGAAGATGGTCTACCCCTATCCTTTTGGTATGAAGTAGTCAATATAACATGTTACACACAAAACAAATCCATCATTGTGAAGCGCCATGGGTAAACTGCCTATGAGATGCTAAAAGGGAGAAAACATGATATCTCATACTTTCATGTTTTTGGGTGTGTTTGCTACATCTTAAATCAGAAGGATCAATATTTGAAATTTGATGCAAAGGCTGATGAATGATTCTTCTTGGGGTACTCAAGTGAAGCTAAATCATTAAGAGTATTTAATATTTCAAGACGAACCGTTGGGGAGTCTATTCAAGTTATATTTGATGAAGATTTATATATTAAAGATCGAACTGATCATACTGCCATCATTCTAAATGAACTTGTTCAATGAATATATGATACTCTCATTGAACCAATCATTCCAAACGTTGATCCTATACTTAACCATCTCTATGACATTAAGGATCAAACCGATGCTGAATTCCAATCTCATAATTCTGAAGAACGAAATCCTTGTGCGACTCCCATTCATGAAGAATCATTCTTCAATGATGTGCCACTCAATAATGATACTGTAAATTATACATTTCATCGCGATCACCCCGAATCTCAGATCATCGGAAATGTCAACTCAGGTATCCTTACTCGCAACAAGGCCACTAGTAACTTCTGCATGTTTTTCAACTTTGTATTAATGATTGAACCTAATAAGGTAACTAAAGCGCTAAAAGAGGGGTTGGATCAAGGCAATGCAAAATGAGCTGAATGAGTTTGAACGGCATAACGTTTGGACGCTGGTTCCAAGTACTCAAGGAAAGACTATCATTGCACTCGCTGTGTTTTTGGAAACAAAATGGATGAAGATGGGGTTGTCACAACAAACAAGGAAAAACTAGTTGCTCAGGGATTTTTTTAATTGGAAGGTTTGGACTATGATGAAACATTTGCCCCTATAAAAAGAGTTGAGGCAATGAGGTTGTTTCTTGCGTATGCATCTTTCATGAACTTCAAAGTCTATCAAATGGACGTCAAGACCACTTTTCTGCATGGGGATCTTCAAGAAGAAGTCTATTTGAAACAACCACCAAGCTATGAAAGTGAAGAATATCCAGATTATGTGTATCATCTGCATAAAGCTGTATACGGTCTAAAACAAGCACCTAGGGCATGGTATGACACCCTGACTAATTATTTTTTGGATAATGGATACAAGCATGAGGCTATTGATAACACTATGTTTATCAATCAGTCAGGGTCACATATTATTCTTGCTCAGGTGTATGTAGATGATATCATTTTTGGATCTACTGATGAGACATTGAGTACTGAATTCACTGAAGTAACGGCTAATCAATTTGAAATAAGCATGATGGGAAAACTAACCTTTTTCTTAGGTCTGTAGGTTAAGCAACTCACTGATGGTATCGTTATTTTTCGGGCCAAATACATCATTGATCTACTGAAGAAGTTTGGTTTCATTGATATCAAACCAGCAAAGACCCCAATGTCATCATCTGAGATAATAACCGATGATCTAACTGGAACTGATTTTAATGCAAGAATGTATAGAGGATTGATAGGATCTCTGCTCTATCTCACTGCTAGTCATCCGGATATCATGTTCGCAACCATATTGTGTATTCGCTATCAAGCCAATCCCAAAGAATCACATCTTTACGTTGTAAAGAGAATCTTCTGTTATCTGAAGCATAAAACCAATCTTGGGTTGTGGTATCCACATGATTCAGAATTCAAACTGGTTGGTTACATTGACTCTGATCATGGTGGATGTGGTTTTGATCGAAAGAGTACTTCAGGGAGAGCTCAACTATTGGGAAATAGACTTGTGAGTTGGTCTAGCAAAAAGAAAATGTCAGTGGCTTGCTCTACCATTGAAGCAGAATATATGGTCGCTAGAAGGTGTTGTGCTCAGATTCTTTGGATTTAGAATTAGCTTCTGGATTATGGATTTATATTTTCCAAGACTCCTATCTATTGTGACAACACCAGTGCAATTTTGTTGATACATAAGCATTCTAAGACCAAACACATCGATATCCCTCATCACTTCATCCGAGATATCGTTTAGAAAGGCCAAGTGGAATTGTTCTACATTCCAACCACTGATCAATTGGCATATATTTTTACCAAGGTATTAGATGAGAAGACCTTGAACAAGTTAATCGCTAATCTCGACATGCTTTCAATGACATAAACACCATTCTCTTGTTTGTAGTGTACATTCTTATGTATTTTTATCATCCTTTCTCCCTTATTTCTGGTACCAATGAATTGACAGTATGTAACTATTGACAAATCTGTCCCTAGAAGCATGCTGTTGCATGTGCCAATCTCTCTAAGTATCTCATCAGCGAGACCATCTATGGAGATGATATCGAGTCACTCACTCAGACTGATTGTTATGCATTGTCATATCTGTCCGAATGAGACTGCCTGGTCCAAATCAGAAAATTATTCAAAAGTCTTGAATGTTCACTTTATGATTAATTGTCTTTATCCAGACCTTGTCCCTGGAAGCATGCTTGTCTTATGCATCAAGTATCATGTTCTGCTGAAACATCGAGCATTACCTAGTGGCTTACCCTAATTGCATTGTCATCAACATAAGAGTTACTTGTCAGGTCCTTCAATGAAAAGGGTTATTCATGTCCTTAATCTCCTAGACTGAGGTATGACATGGTACTATTATGGATTGAGGATGGATTTTTTTCCAAGTTTTAACTATATTCTACAAGTCTTCAAATATTGAATTTAATGATTCACTGTATGATGCCATACACTAATAACAGTTCAACACTTTATACGATGGGTACATTTTATATCGAAATGTATTACACACATCATTCCATTCTTTCCCTTTCTTCTAATAAAAGAAGTTAATGATCCAACATATAAAACCTTACACTAATGAGACTCTGAAAGAATATGTAGATGATCTATAGTACACCAACATACTATCAGGAGGCATCACGATCCCATCCATCATTCCATTGCAACTTGTGATACGCCGTAACTTGTGATACACTGATTACTCGTGATACGCTGATCTTAACGGTAACTTTCAGATGAGGATAAGAATGCAAACCGTCATTTTGGCATTCGAGATATTTACGACACCTTTTTCTTTGATAATGATTATGTGAAAAGGTGGGGTATTTTTGAATATAAGTAGGAGTTTTCTCTCTCCTAGGTTACTCTATTTCTCCTTACCAATAAAAATTCTCAAAACCCCTCCCCGATCATCTTCGTCTTCTGCGTTGCTTTAAGTTCTGCAACCCAGTCCAAGTTATTCTCAGACATCAACAATGGCTCCAATTCTCTTCGCGTATGTTTAGGATGGAAATTTTCTAAAGCTCGAAATACCTGTGATACTCCTATTCTTATTCAAGCTAAGAATGTTTCTTTCACATATACTATTCCACCGCAACATCAAGACTCCGACATTGAAGCTTTTGTTGAATACTTGATATGTTGTCCCCTACGGTATACCCTCGGTTTTATTCCAAAACCCTTCTTCACAAAACAAGTATGTAAGTTTTATTACTCATGTACCTTTGACGCAAATGTTGAAACCATCTCCGGAATTATTGGAGATAGACATTCAAGGGTTGACATATCTATAGTGACCATACATCAATTTCTTCGTCTACTATGCTTGGCAGTATATGAAGAGACTCCTACTGAAGCCATATGCAGATCGATTCTTCCATGAATTGGGTATGATCTTTCTCTTCAAGATCGTTGTGACCCTGCGAAATACGTCATTTGCCAATGTCTTCCCACTTGTTGGAAGTATGTGATAGGGGTTATTAGGAAGCATCTCGGACACAAAACTGGTAGCTTGGACCAACTCATAAATTTATTTGAGTTACGCATTTTGTATGCCATTGTTTGAGACAAAGATCTAGACTGTACCCAATTATTTTTTGATCAGCTGGATGAATGCATCAGCGGCAATAAGTGACCAACATATGTGCCATATCCTTTTTGGCTTGCTCTATTTTTGGCTAACACTGGGATGGGGTACAATATCAATCACAGAGCATCTATTCCAACATTGGTTCTATCCTAAAAAATAATCAATGATGACACTACAGATGGTGATATTCACTTATTTCAACGAATGATTCTTTGGATATAACATCCTTACAATGCTGAGGATTTGCAAGAAGATTCCATTGCCTCTTCACCCTAAAATAGTGCCAATACTGAGTTGGTTGTTGTGTCCGTTCAAGCAACAGAGATACAAGACAATACTCACACCTCACCCACTTAGTACGAATTTGGTGAAGTTGAGTCTGGTTTTGAAGGTCCATCATCTAACTCTTAGATTTTGGCCAGCGTTCCTCCTCCAAGATGAAATACACAGATTCAATTTCATTCCTCTTCTCCATCACCTTCTACTCCACATGAAGCCATCACACAACATGGATCGACTTATCCACACATTGATACAAATATTCCACATTCATCTCCACTCGAACCCATCACACAACGTGGATCAACACCTCCGCACACTGATACAAGTATTCCACAGTCATCTCCACTCGAACCCATCACACAACGTAGATCAAGACCTCCACACGCTAATACAACTATTCCACTTCAAGTTGTTGCTACTTTTCCTTAGGCATATCGAATTTAAGCTGCTGTTACTTTTCAGGTGGAGTCAAGTTTATCTGATCTTCAATCAAAGATGCTTTCTAAGCTTTCACTGTTGGTAAACTTGATGGAGTCGTTAGGACATCACCTAAGCAAAATTGAAGCTGATATGGCTGACATAAAGCACATCATATCCATGGTGGATAATACTAAAGAGATTGTACATTTCCGTTCTCCACACGATGATCCACAACCATCACCATTACCACCTCTTACTGGTAATAATCCTCACAATCTATTTCGACCTCATCCTTTAAATCCTCCTTCCCTACTTCCCTCTCTACCACTTGACACTCCTCCAGTGTCTCCTTAACATGTTGATGATGCCAAAATGGGAGAGATAAGTGTTGGAAAAAACAACATGATGATACTACTGCTGATCAGTCTGTGACTGAAGATGATGATGGCTAGCCTAAGACTGAAGATGATGAAGGCTTCCTGGATATGGATTTTATGTCATGAGCTGTGCCACTAATTATTATTTATCCAGGAACTCTTCCTGAAGGAGATATTCCTCAGGGCGCTCATAGTGATGTTGAGTCTAATGATGATCATCTCATTAAAAGGAAAAGGAAGGCCTCCTCCTCAGGGGGAGTTGATGAAGTTGAAGGCGAAGGCTCCTCAGTTCCTCCTATCAAGAAAAGAAAGCTTATAGTTAACTTAGATGAATTGGCTAGGGATTGGAGATTACCAACTGAGGAGGTCAGACAAATTTGAACTGATCATAATGCTTCAGTGCAAAAAGAGAATGTTGAACGTTGCTCCACCAAGCTTGCGCAAAAGTATGCCTATGCTGAGGGAGGCATTGATGAACAATAGTTAAATCTCCAATGCTTCAATAATATGGTCGTTCAACGAAAAAGGGTTTTAGAGTTGAATGATCGCATTGACAAGAAGAAATTCGTTAAAGTTCTAGTTTGAAGAATTAAATGTAACCCCATCATCAAGGTCAGGTGTACTAAACCCAAGGATGAAACAATAAAGGTTTATCTAATCAGAAAGAAGAATGAGTATACTGAGATTGTGTTTGCTCATGAATTGGTCAAGTATGGTTATAGCGAGTGGATTCAGATTCAAGATATAATTTCCAAACATAAAGATATTCATGCTCAGGAGCTGAAATTGGCACTGCAACAAATGATCAATAAAGTGAAGAAGTTGAATTTAGTGCCTTCAACTGGTCCTTCTCAGTATTTTTCCTCAACAATAGCTCCAAAGCAAAGGAAATCCCAAAATTCTAAGTTTCTTCTTCCTTTTGGCACTGTCTACATCAACAATAGGTTTCCAGTGGGTGTCGAGCCGATTCAACATTTGTTTATTTGACAGCTTGACATGACATCTTCTATCTCGATGAACAAAATCAGATGTGATTTCAACGCAATGAAGAGCTTCACACTGCTCCCACTGAGCATCTATTTCATCTTCGACTGAAGTGCATGGGGTACGAAGAAGTGGAACAAGATTATCATTGGTTGATCTCACTGGAACTAAGCAATCCTATTGAAGAGCTTAAAGGAGAAAACTTGCAGTGGATGAAGCAATAAATTTTAGATGAAGCGGACGATTGAAATTAAAATCATTTTTGATATTATCAGATAGGGGAAGATTGTAACGTTGAACCTTATAATGATATGAGTCAAGTACTAATACACGTTCACCATCAGTGCCACTGGTAGCGCTAGCGACAACGACAACGCATGTACTTACAAGCCGTCAACGTCAGCGTGTAACCTTTTGGACTGGTGTTTTTACTTTGTGTTATGTAATTATATTAATGATAGATGTTAGCTAACTATTCCTAAATCCTAGTGATTAGGATCAATTTATATATTTAGATTAGAATCAATCCCTTTTATGTCGTGATTTTGTTTATACTCTTAGTATATATTCTTGTAATTGGGTTGTATCCATATAACCGTAATCGCCGCTTTGTGCCTTCGATTCTCTTTGTGAGAATAATTTCTTAGTGAAATCACCTTTGTGTTAAATCTATGTTAATTGTTCCTTTATTAGTTTGTATCTGATCTACGATCCTACAAGTGGTATCTGAGCAGGTTTTTTTTGATACATTCAAGATATCACGTCTTCTTCATCCCAATACAATACAAAATCCTCTACAACGAAAAATATTCATTGTTCGATCAAAATTATTTTGCCACATGGAAGAGAAAATCCATGGTTGTTCTTGAAACCATGTATTATGATAAAAATAGAAGAGATAAAAGACTTTTTGGGAGAATAGTTCTTTGCTTGCTTGTATCGAATTGTTCTCAATATTCTCTCTAATGGAAAATTGGTCTTATTTACTTCTTGTCTTCTTAATCTTTCAACTATTTTAATCGTGTTTATGAGATTAAAATAGAATCTATCGTTCCTAACATTTATAACAAGTTATATCAGAGAAGGAGATTTTGTAAGTTGTTTTCCAGATCTAATTTCGTTCGAAGTCCTTCCCGTTCTTCATAATTGTACTTTGTATTATTGATCGATTCCGTATTTTGCAACTTCTGTTTGCAGTTTGATCCAAAATCTTAGTTCAAATCATATGATTTTTGATTTGGAACTAGTTCTAGCTTATATATTTGATTTTATTTTTGTTCTTTTCGGAATTTTTCCAAAAAATGGAAAAAGAAGACTCCTATTTTATTTCCTTTAATCTTCATGGTTCTATTGGTTCTACAAACTAGATTCCAATTCTTTTTCCAAAATATTATGAAGTCTGGGCACTTCATTTTGAGGATCATGCATACTCAAAAGGATTTGGATAATCTCGTTTCTGAAGGTATTGAATCTTATGAAAAGGAATTGTTGATGAAAACAAGTAACTCATTTTCAAAAAGAAAAAAAGTTTTCGTTCACAAAAAGTCTATTTTGGAACAAGAAACTAATTTGAAAGATTATGAGACAAAATTGAAAATGAAGAAAAAGATTTTTTTGAAGAAGATTGCACCACAGATGAAAAAATTTGTTCAACGAAAGTCTCAATTTGTTGAGACAAATCTTTGTGACAACAAAACTCAAGTTTTCAAGAAAACACTTAATGGAACAAAGTTTTGACTATGAAATCCTTTTGGATTGATGAGACTAAGATTTTTCTAGTTTCTGTTCCAAAATCAAAGTTCTCACAAGGGCCCAAGATAGCTTGGGTTCCCAAATTGGTTTAATTTTGTAGGTGATGCATGAAGAGTAGTTCAATTCGGAAAGATAAATTGATAGTAGCTGCTCTCGTCATGTGGCTGGAAGGAAATTGGAATTGAGAGGATATCGGAGTCTAATAGATGGAGGAAAAAGAAAATCAGACTCATACGTTTAAGGGGGGAATATGAAAAATTTGTTCCACTTTGCAATGAAGAAGTTAATTCAATTTCAAATTCTGATTCTAATTTAAATAATAATGATCTTGTGTAGGGGAGAACTTAAATCGTCATGATCATTTCCAGGGGGAGAGTTCAACTCTAAGTATAAATGTCCAGGGGGAGAGTTCAACTCTAAGTATAAATGTCCAGGGGGAGAATCTTTTACATAATGAAACTGATGAGCAATTGGAAGTTCAAGAAATTGTTTTTCTAATTTCGAAATCGTTATTGTTCACTTTTGTTTCTCATATTAAGGCAGAAGGAAAAAAATAAACTTTGACTACATAGTTTTTGTTTACTAGTCTAAAAATACATGGTCGTACCATTTATGATTACCAGTTACAGATAGCATTGGGGTACACCAACGGATAATAGATTTTGGAAGCAAAACCCCATAAGCTTCTTGGTTTGAAGAGTAAAAGATGTTATTTTCTTAGAATTACTCGTGACAAGATCCATGAAGTAATCTCTAAGAACGGGTTATTCTAATACCTAAAATCTACATCTCAAGTATTCATGAGTGTTGTCACAATCTCTTATGCAATGTCCAATCTCGCATTGTCCAATCAAATAACACTCATGACAATCTTAAATGCCAATCCGCACTCCCGAGGGCAGTGTTGTAAAATCGGCCTAGGAGGCCGCCTAGGCTGTGCCGTGGTGCTAGGCGACCTCTTATTGTCTATGATTAATGCTAGTCTGCCGAGTTAGGCAGAGTCGGTCCTAGGTGGTCTAGACGGTATAAGCCGGTAAAAAGTCAGACAGTAAAAAATTTAAAAAAATCCTCTATTAGTCAAATTTATGATTTTGGGTGACTAAATTATGATGATTGATTACTAAAAATGTTAAAAAGATCCCTAATTAGTCTAGAAATTATTATATACAATGATTTTAATATTTAGACAATTGAATATGCCAATTTCTTATGGTTATTTACTTATTTTGTTAGGATATAGGTAATATTTAATTTTTAAAAAATAAATTCTATTACAATTAAGGGTCTCCGCCTAGGCACCGATTAAGCTCCGCCTAGACCGATTAGTCCCTTAACCCCAGTCAACCGCCTGGCCACCGCCTAGCAACTTTTACAATCTTGCCTAAGAGTACGACCAACTGTGGAGTTTTGAACATAATTAAATATTCTAGAAGTGAGTACAAAACATGGAAAAGTAAAACACGATAATAAATAATACATCTTTGATAACAACAAATTCTCTTTATTAAGTCTCTACGAAGTAAACATCAAAACGGTTACATTTCATATTGTTATACATTTCTAAGATAAATAAAATAAATGCAAGTGTTTAAGCCAATTTATTTGTAGATATAATGTGTCAAGACTTTGTCTAACTAACAGACTTGGTCGGTGACATTAGCTTAGTGATTGGATCAGCAGGATTATCTTCCGGCAAGATCTTATTGATAATGATGTTTTCACATTCAAACAATAATGTAATGATACTTCTTTAGTATATAACATGTGAGTTTGTGTGACTTGAGATCTATGCTCTAGGTAAGCTCACCCTTATAGTCACAAGAACTTACATAAGGACCATTAATGATTGAATTTCAACAATCATGTCACTAATGAATTTCTTCTAATCATGTAGCTTCTTTTGCTTTCTAACAAGATGCAATATACTCTAAGTTTCAATCTTAAATCCACTATGGTGTATTACTTGTTTCTCATCCAAGTTAATACAACACCATTTATAAAAAACATAAATTTCGACTGCGAACGAAATTGTCTTTATTAGTGTGGAACTTAACATCAATGTAACCTTAACATTGATCTTTTCTATACTAACATCACATTCTTTGTCCTTCTAGTACACAAAAGAATATATTTGATGTTGATTCATTTATTCTTTCCAAGATTTGTCATGCTCAAGGCATACAAGTCATCAAATTTGGTACAAGTCATGATCGATCCCACAAGCAAATATTCGTGGGATAA